GTCAAGAGCTGGGCCATGAGCGGGCGCACCGTCTTCGCCTGCGCGAAGAAGCAGCGCCTGGCCGCCAAGCGGCCTGTCGCCGTCGCACCCGCGGCGAGGGCCGGTCTGCCGAGTGGCAAGGCGGTGGGCCCCGAACGGAGGAAGGCGAGGGATGAACGACGACGGCAATGACGACCACCACCGCATCTAAAGCTCCGAGGGACGACCACGACGACGACGACGACGACGACGACGACGACGACGACGACGACGACGACGACGACGACGACGACGATAGGGTAGGCGGCGACGGCGACGGGGACGGGGACGAGGACGGGGACGCCGACGGCGACGGCGACGGCGACGGCGACGTCGACGGTGGCAACGGCAGCGGCGACGGCAGCGGCGGCGGCGAGGACGACGGACGACGGGCATCAGTTACGACAGCGGCGACGGCGGCGATGGGGAGGGTGGGGAGGCAGCAGCGGGAGCCTCGAGGGAGGAGGAGCAGCTTGGGACGGGAGGCGGGGCGGCGGGGCCGACGGCTGCGACCGACGGCCCCGACAGCCTGTGCTGCCTTGTCCCGCCCCTGTCCCGATCTGCTCGGCGCCCCCGATTCGCCTGGCGCCCGCCAACCCCCGTTCGGAGGTCTCAGGAGCTCTCCCAAGGCGCTCTTTCCTCCCAGTCCAAGCCTCCACCCTGTCCCCTCCCATTCGTTCCCCCACTTCTCCTCACCTCGCGTCCCTCCCTGCAAGCCCCCCCCCTCGCTCCCTCCCCGCTCCTCCCTCCTCGCGGCCTTCTCATCAGTCATCCCTCCTCGATTGTCTTCCTCTCCTCACCCCTTCCTCCTCGGCCATCCATCCCTACCTCACCCTTCTCCGCCTTTCCCCTCCACTCCACTGTCCGCCCCTCCGCATTCAGGCCTCCCTACTCCAGCATCCCGCGACCACCCCCTCTTCTCCCCGCCCTGGGGAGGAGAGGAGGAGGAGGAGGACGATGACGAGGAGGAGGAGGAGGAGGAGGAGGAGAAGGACAAGGGGGAGGGGGACGAGACGAGGAAGAGGAATAGGAACAGGAACAGGAGGAATGGAAGACGAAGAGGAAAAGGAAGAGGAAGTAGAGGAGGAGGAGGAGGAGGAGGAGGAGGAGGAGGAGGCGGAGCAGGAGGATGAGGAGGGCGAAGACAAGGATGAGGCTAAGGAGAAGAAGGAGGAGGAAGAGGAGGAGGAGGAGAGGAGCCGGGAGGAGGACAACGAGGGCAAGAAAAAGCAGGAAGACAAGGAGGAGGAGGAGGAGGAGGAGGAGGGGGAGAAGGAGGAAGGGTTGAGGAGAATCGCTAAGCGCAGGTGGTGTCTGCCGCCAGGGCGGAGTCCAGGAAGAGGAAGACTGGCGAGGGCCTCGGCGTTCAGCACGTGGCCCTCAAGGAAGGCGCCGCCCTTGCCGCGGTTGCCCCCCCCCCTTCCTCCACCCTTTGCCCCTCGTCGTCGTATTGCTCCTTCTCCTGCTCCTCCTCCTCATTCTTCTCCTCCTGCTCTTCCTCATCATTCTTCTCATTATCCTCCTTGTCGTCCTCCTCCTCCTCCTCGTCCTCCTCCTTCTCCTCATCATCAGCCCCCCTCCTCCCTCGTCATCATATTGTCCCTCCTCACCTTCCATCTCTTTTCACTATAGATCACTCCTCCCTGTTGTACCCCCAGACGTGTGTTAGTAAAGCGGGCTGGGCGCTTCGCTCAAGATTTCTTCACTACGTGTGAACTGTAGGCTTGAAGCATATATCAGCTTCACGGATGGAGGAAAAGCGGCTTTCAACATGTGGTTCTCGTGTTAGCGCGGCGCACATGTGTTTCAAAGTTGGCAAAAGCTTTAGGGGCGGGTCTTTTTTTAACGTGTCGTTCCCGCTTCAGCGCCACGCACACTCGTTTCTCACAAGTTCGCAAAAGGTTCAAGGGTGTGCATGGCTGAAGTCCAAGGAATGGTATTCTGACGCTAGTAAGGAATATCAGGACGCCACAGTCACGTTGATTCACTATGTGGAAGTGCCAGAAATGGCGTTGTCGCACGACTTAGGATTGTCAAGACGCGACAGTCACTTTGGTTCGCGGCGCGGAGGTCCCAGGAATCCAGGATTCGCGTTTTAGCGCGATTGAGGATTCTCAGACGGTTGTCTTCCAATGGGGCACTTCCTGCAAGGAAGGTACGACGAGTCTTGCAGGGGCCTGTAAGGAGAAAAATTGGAGGAAGATTGATTGCAACATCGTTTACGCGTCTTCGGCTTACACTGGTCCTCGTCTTCCTCCTCCTTCTCATCCTCCTCATCCTCTCCCGTTTCCTCCTCATCATCCTTCTCCTCCCCTTCCTCCCCCTCCTCCTCCTCACCATCGCCCTCCTCACCCTCGCCCTCGTCGTCGTCGTCGTCATCATCATCAACATCATCATCATCATCATCATCATCATCATCAGCATCAGCATCAGCATCATCATCAGCATCAGCATCAGCATCATCATCAGCAGCATCATCACCGTCATCATTGTCACCATTATCTTTCTCCCCGCGCGCGCCGTCGACGGATTCAGTGCCTCTCGGGCGAGTCCCGCCCGCGCCACCCCTTCCCCCCGAACTCTTCCGACTGGTGGACGGCACGCGCGCGCCCCTGCCCGCCAGTTTCCGCAACTTCCTTTCCCTCCCTGGCATCCAGGGCGACGCAGGAAAAGCGTCACAGCTGGCTTTTCCCCGCGATCGGCGTTTGGGAGGCGTCTTTTCATGGCCCCTTGCTCGGGACGAAGGCCTGGCCTCGGGGAAGTGGTCGAAGCCCCCAGGGCCGACGCGACGAACAATTGCAGCGCCGGAGGAGGAGGTTCTCCTCCTCTCACTCCCCCGGACCCCCTCGGGCTGTGAAAAACTCACGACGAGAAATGTTTCGCTATGTTCGGCGTCTGGGGGCCCTTACTGGACCTGGGGATGGTCAAAAAACGATTCAGGATGAAAAACCGGTCCCGGGGAAGGGGTCCAGACCTTTGAGGATCGACTTTTTGAACAAAAAACAAAACAATACAAAAACGACGTCGGGAATTTGGGCCTGTTGTGCACGGCCAGTCTCGGCCGCTTCCCCCCGCCTTGTGGCCAAGGCCACCGCGTAAGTCGACGGGCGGGCAGGGACTCGCTCTCTCTTCCAAAGCCAAGACTGATGGCAATGAGCATAAACTGTCGCAGGTCCGCGTGGACTTCAAGGGGTCGGTGCTGGACCCCGCCTCGGCGGCGCCTCCAGCGCCACCCAAGGCGCGCTTCGCGCGGCAGGACAGATAGCCAGCGCCGACACAAGAAATCCGGTCTGACCTTCGAAGGTTTATGTTTGTGTAGCTGCTCTATCTTCTCTCCTCCTTCTCCTCCTCCTTATCTTCCTCCTCCTCGTCCTCCTCCTCCCTCCTCCTCCTCCTCCTCCTCCTCCTCCGCCTCCTCCCCCTCCTCCTCCTCGTCCTCCTCCTCCCCCCCTCCTCCTCCTCCTCCTCCTCCTCCTCCTCCTCCTCCTCCTCCCCCTCCTCCTCCTCCGCCTCCTCCTCCTCCTCCTCCTCCTCCTCCTCCTCCTCATTCCTTCCCCACTCTCTCCTCCTCCTCCTCCTCCGCCTCCTCCTCCTCCTCCGCCCTCCTCCTCTCTCCTTCCTCCTCCTCCTCCTCCTCCGTCTCCTCCTCCTCCTCCTCCTCCTCCTCCTCCTCCTCCTCCCCTCCTCCTCCCCCCTCCTCCTCCTCCTCCCTCCTCCTCCTCCTCCTCCTCCTCCTCCTCCTCCTCCTCCTCCTCCTCTTCCTCCTCCGCACCATCAACAGGACGGCGCAGGTCGACGAGTCCCTCTTCGGGCGCTCCCCCCTAACGCGCCCCGCTCGCCGCCGGCAAGCGGCGGCGCGGCAGGGGCCGCGGACTGGCCCAGGGGTGGAGCATCGACCCCCGATCGTCAGGGGAGGAAGAGGTACCAATAGCACGCCCCTTTTCTGGCTTTCGCCCTCCAGGGCCTCCTGGGAGGCCCTTGTCGCGACGGCTGGATCCGCCTCGAAATGCTGGCCAGAGCGCGCTCCCAGAGAGGCCCGGGGAGTGCAGTCAACCCGCATTGTAAGGATGGGCAACCTTCCCCAGGGTACCCTTGCATCCTTGTCTCCTCGGTCCACCCTCGGCCACTTTCGTTGGCCGCGCCCCGCTCGAAAAGCCTGGAAACGGCCTTCCACGGCCCTTGCATTCTTACGGTCGTCGTCGTCGTCCTCCCCCTCCTCCTCCTCCTCCACAATTACTCAATATAAATACTACTCTCCCTCTTCCCCCGATGGCGGCCTGAAAGTATTAGACCCCCCCCGCGTACTGTTTTTTAACACACAGGATTCCCGGGAGTTGGGTTTTCGCCTGCGTTTTTTCCAAAATGCTGCTCTCGCTGAGGCGCCGGCCTCATTTCTGCTCCCGAATCGTTCCGAATCGTGCTCCCGCTGCAGCGTGGGCCTCATTTTCGGATCGGTATTTGGCCTCCGTCGTTCAGGATGGCGTTCTCGCCCCAGCGCGGGCCTCTTTCTCGCGCGCCCATCCGCCTGCCACCACCGCGCCGCACCACCACCACCACCACCACCACCACCACCACCCCAACCACCACCAGCACCACCACCACCACCACGACCACCACCACCACCACCACCACCACAACCACGCACACACGCACGCACGCACGCACGCGCACCACCACCTACGCACGCGCGCGCGGAGCCACAGGTCCGCTACGACACGCGTCCGCGGATAGAGAAATCAGCGCCATGGTAAGGGATCGGAGGGAGGGGTAGGACGTCAGATATGACGCGAGCGCACCTAGCTTGTCCCCCTTCCCCTCCCCCTCCTCCTCCTCCTCCTCCTCCTCCTCCTCCCCCTCCTCCTCCTCCTCCTCCTCCTTCTCCTCCTCCTTCTCCTCCTCCCGCCGCCGTCCCGCCTGGACCCGCAGCACGGCCTCCAGGACGGCCAGGGGCCCAGGGGGTCGGCCGGGGTGGGGGCCCTCCTTCTCTTTCCTCCTCCCGCCGCCGCCCCGCCCAGACCCGCAGCACGGCCTCCAGGCCCGCCGGGGACCCGCGGGGTCGGCGGGGGTGGGGGGGCCCTCCTCCCCCCCTCCTCATCCCCCTCCTCCTCCTCCTCCTCCTCCTCCTCCTCCTCCTCCCCTCCTCCTCCTCCTCCTCATCCTCCTGCCTCCTCCTCCTCCTCCTCTCTCCTCCTCCTCCTCCTCCGCCTCCTCCTCCTCTCCTCCTCCTCCTCCTCACCTCCTCCTCTCTCCTCCCTCCTCCTCCTCATCTCCTCCTCCTGCTCCTCCTCCCCCTCTTTCCCCCTCCTCCTCCCCCCCCCCTTCCCCCCTGCCGACGAGGTATCCCTTCTGGTAACCCTGACGCTACCTTGGTTCAGGGCCCGGACGCGCCGGCCCGCCCGAGTGCGCACTTCCCCCCCCTCTACCGCCCCCCCTCCCCCCCCCCCCCTTCCCTCCCCCCTTCACTTCTCGCCCTGCGCTGCGCTGCCCGGCCGGGATGGCCGCCGCAGTGGGGGCCGGGCGGCCCTCGTCTCCGCGACGGAACCGGCGGTGGCACTTCCCCTCTCCCCCCGCCTCCTCGCATTCTCCCCCGCCCCCCCCCGCCCTTTCCCCCTCCCCCCGCCCTCCCTTCCCTTTCCCCGCCCCTCTGGCCCTTCCCCCCCGCCCCCCGCCCCCTCGCCGCCGGCGCCCGGGCCCCGGGCAGCTCCCGGGACGCCGCCGCCGAGCGGGAGCTGGAGGCAATTTTGGTGCGAATGTCCCGAGCGGTTTTCTGCCGAGTTCCCGGAAACTCGGCAAAAAAAACGCCCTAGACTTTCCGCGCCGGAAGGGCCCCGACCGACCCCCCGGGGGGGTCCGTGACGCGCTCGGGGCGGGGGGGGTCGGGAGCGGTGGGGGGGCACGCCATTCTCGCTCCCGCCGAGGGGCCACAGGAAGGCTGCGGAAGCAGCAACGCAGGCCCCGTTGGGCCGCGGCCGGAGCCGGCGGAGCGGGGCCCAGCAGGGCCGCAAGACGGGGCCTGCCGAGCGCTGCCGGGGCCGGCGGCGCTGAGCGGGGGCCCGCCCCGCGCTCTCCCTGCCTCCCTGCCCTCTTGCCTCCTCGCCGTTCCCTTCTCCCTCGCCCCTCCCCCGCCTCGCTCCCCGCCCTCTCCCGCCTCGCCGCCCCCCGCCGCCCTCGCCTGCCAGGAGGCTGACCGCGGCGCGGGTCGACGAGCGCAATCCCGCCCCTCCGCCCCCCCCCCCTCCTCCCAGGGCACCGGTCCTCCTTTTCTTCCTGCGTCGTCGTCGCCGCCGCCACCGCCGTCGTCGTCGACGTCGTCTGCCCCCCCCGAGGCCTCTGGCGGCCGCCCGGAGGCCTCCGTGCGCCCCCTTTGCTTGGCGCTCCCCGGGCGCTTGGGAGGCCGGTGAAAAGGCCCGGGGGCGCGCCGACCAGGGAGGCCGTCGGCGGTGCCACCCGGGCCGCCGCCGCCGCTGCCGCCGCCGTCCGTCGACGTCGGCTTCGGCGTCGGCGTCGGCGTCGGCGTCGTCGTCGCCGTCGTCGTCGTCGCCGCTGTCGTCGTCGTCCTCGTCCTCGTCCTCGTCCTCGTCCTCGCCCTCGTCGTTGCCGCCCTCGCCGTTGCCGCCGCCGGCGCCGGCGCCGGCGCAGGGGGGGCGCCGCCTCGGTCGGCGTCGCCCCCCCCGCCCCGGGGGTCGGTCCCGGCCCAGGGGGGCCCCGGGAAATTGGCCGGGGTGTGTAAGTGGCGCCCCCAACGACCGCCAGAACCAGAACACAGGCCGGCACCAGGGACCGGCGAAAGATTTTCCATCGTGCCCCGCTTGTGCCCGCCCTGGCCCGCCCGGGCCTTCTCGCCCCCCCCTCCCCCCCCTCTCTTCCTTCTGCCCTTCCTCCCCTCCGCCGCGCTCCTCCCCCTCCCGCCCCGCCCTGCCCCCCCCCCGCCCTCCTCTTCGCCGCCCCCACCACCCCCCACTTCTCCTCACCTCATCCTCGGGAGGGAGGACGGACCGCACCGCGGTGACGTCCGGCACCCCTGACGCGGCAGCCGTTGGCCCAGCGGGGCGGTTGCTCGACCGCGCCGGGGTGTTACCGCGGCCCGAGGGCCGGTGTCACAACTGCGAGTCCTAAAGCGAGTCCTCCTCCTCCTCCTCCTCCTCCTCCACCTCCTCCTCCTCCTCCTCCTCCTCCTCCCCTCCTCCTCCTCCTCCTTCCTCCTCCTCCTCCCCTCCTCCTCCTCCTCCTCCTCATCCTCCTTCCCTCCTCCTCCCTCCACCTCATTATCCTCCCTCCCCCCTCCATCTCATCCTACCTCCTCTCCTCCTCCTCCCTCCTCCTCCCCTCCTGCTCCTCCAACCTCCTCCTCCTCCTCCTCCTCCTCCTCCTCCTCCTCCTCCTCCTCCTCCTCCTCCTCCTCCTCCTCCTCCTCCTCCTCCTCCTCTTCCTCCTCCTCCGTAGCCATTTTGGCTCCAGCCGCTCACCAGCGAGCGAACCCCCGGTGGCTCAACCCGGCGTGGCGTGACTTCCCGGTGCGTCGCGGCTGGCGGCGGGCTGTTTTCTGTCAGAGTCTTGGTTGCGAACTGCCGCGTGCGGTCCTCTTTTTGTTCGCCCCCCTCCTGGCCATGATCCATCGGCACTCGCCCGCGAAGCTGAAGACCAGGCGCCTTCGAGCCGCCGAGCGTGGCTTCCTTGTTCCTCGTCCTGGCCGTGGGCGTCGATGGCTGAGCGCCCCGTGCGACATGCTGGAGGACGCCCGCAAAGTGACGCAGTCCGTGGAGCTTCTGCCCACGACGCTCAGGGAGCTGCTCCGCCTCATCACGCTGCACGCCTTGCCTCGCATGCGGCCCGGGCGAATATCGGCAAGAGCGAGTACGACAAAGCGCAGAAGATCCACAAGGCCGCCACCTCTGCGAAGCACAATGTCGGGAAGAAAGCTGCCGCGTCTGCTCTCGCTGCCTCGTGTGGCATGCCCTCCCGTCCTGACCCTTGGCTCGCTGCTGGGGCGGACCCCTGGGCTCAAGCGCTCGCCCTGCCGCCCGCGGTCGATTCTCGTGCCCTGGTTGCGGTCGTGTCGCCTGCTTCGCTGCGCGCCGAGGCTGCGTCTTTCGTGCCCGCTGCCGCTGCGGCCCCTGCCGTGGCTCGGCCCACTGCCTCGAGCGGTGACCTGGAGGCGTTGGCTGCCCAGCTCGAGTACGCGCTGTGTCTGCTGGCGGCGCAGAACGACACCATCGCCCAGTTGCGTGGCGAGCTCGAGGCACGCGTGCTCGGCAGTCCTGCTCGTCGCGGATGCGAGGACGTCTCCGATCCCTACAAGTATTGCGACACCGACGTCGGAGACCTGCACGCCGAGGTAAAGGCCATGCTCACGAGGTTCCGAGATGTGTGCCTCAGTGAGATGGAGAGTTTCGTGACGAAGAGCGTGACGAGCATCGTGAGGACGTCCATGAATGAGTTGTTGCAGCGCGTCGACGCCGTCCGGGAAGCTGTGGCTGCGTCGCGTGCTGCTTCTGCGTCTCCGTCTGTTTCGTGTCCGCCTTCGCCGCGGTCGTGCTCGCCGTCTCTGTCGGCCGCCGCCTCGCGTGGCGCCGCGCCCTGCGGTCGCGATGACGCCCCTCACATGCGGCCCGCTCGCCTTCGCCGTGGTGGTGCTGAGTTGTGCCCTGTCTGCGGAGGTTCGGAGTTCTTCATCGATGACGACATCCCCCCGCGCTTCTGCAGTGGCTCCCCGCCAGCGAGCTTCTTCGCCAGCGACGACGATGGCGATTGGCGTTCGGACGGGCGTTGGTCGCAGTAAGGTGGATGGACTCGTTCGCCCTCGGTTTCTGGGTCCTCGCGCTGCTCGTCCTTTCCCTGATGGTCGGCGCCAGGTTCCCTGGTATGACGTCCATTATTGAGGCTGTCGCCTTCACTTCTCATTCTCGCTGAGAGTTGCGGATCCCTCTTAGATTTACATTGTGTTGAATCGACTCGCTCTCGACGCTGGGCTCCTCCTCCTCCTCCTCCTC